TGGAGGAAAGGCCAGGTCGCCTGACTGAAGTGGAGAGTGTAAGGGGACATAAATAGAATGAAAGCTGCAGCGTTAGGTGGGGGCCCCGTAAACCATAGTAAAGCCTTTTAGCTGTATCCTGAGAGTAACAGGGACAAGTTACAGTAAAGTTCTAAGAGTAATAATATTTAATAAATATCATAGGCATCAGTGTATGAATGGATAAACAAAATGTGGTATATACATACTGTGGAATATTATTAAGCCTGAAAAAGGACAAAAATGTTGACACATGCTACAACATGGGTGAACCTTGAGGAAATTATACTAAGTGAAATAAGCCAATCACAAAAGGATAAGTACTGTATGACTCTACTTATATGGGGTTTCTAGAGTAGTGAAATTCACAGAGACAGAAAGTAGAATGGTAGTTGCCAGGGCCTGGGGAAAGGGGAAGATGGACAATTAGTGTTTAATGGGTTTAGAACTTCAGTTTAGGGTGATGAAAAAGTTCCGGAAATGGATGGTGATGATGGTAACACAACAACATGAATGTACTTAATGTCACTGAACTGTACACTTAAAAATGGTTAAAATGGTAAATCTTGCGTTATGTGTATTTTACAATTTTTAGATTAAAAAATATAAACATAACTGCAGTGGCTGGATTTTTATTGATATAGATAGATAGATAGATAGGTAGACAGATAGACAGAGATAAACAGAAAAGTAGAGGTAGGGAGACCATTTAAGAGTTTGTTTCAATAATCCAGTGAGAGATAAAGTGGCCTGAACTTAGGCTATGTGAATAAAGAGAAGAAAACAAAGTTCAGATTCATTTGGACATTAGACTAGGAAGACCTAATACTGATCGGAAGAGAGCACTTTGGGAAAAGTAGGGCTTAGGATAGAGTCCAGATTTCTAGCTGGGGAAACTGGGTGGATGGTGATGAAGCCAGTCACTAGGAACAATGAATGATTGAAAAAAAAGAACTGTTTAATTTCTCATGGAATAATTTAGAAAGTAGATGCAATCAAGTCATTTCAATAAGGAACAAAGGATATTTCTCTGTCCATGGGATAAAAGATATAAATAGAATGTAGTTAAACCTACAACTAAAATGCAAAATTTGCTTTGCAAACCCTCAGAAGAAAGCAAACATGATCACAAGGGATAGTGAGGCTCAAAGTAGAGTGAAGGTTGGAGAGAGACCAGAGTCCAGAGGCTGGAGATGGGGTCAGGGACAGCTGCAACATATATTGCTTGATGGTTTTTAAAATGCCTTATGTTTTGACTGAGTCATTTCACCTGCAGTGGAGCCATGAGAATGTCGTGCTTCACTCCTCAGTCATCATCTCCCAACCCTCCCCTGAATGTTCCCTCCATGTCAGTCTTCCAAACCCACTCACCATTTCCCTAACACACTATACCCTTAGACGCCTCCATAACTTCTCACAGGTTCATGCCTCTGTCTTGAACGCCCTTCTCCCTCCTCCTGGACCTGGCACATTTCAACTGATTCTTCAAGATTCATTTATTTTGAGTCTGTTAACAAACAACTTTCGACCTGTGTCGGATGCTGGGTAGGGACAGAGATGATAAGACAAAGTCTCTGTCACTAAAGAGTATTGGCCAGGCAGAGAAGTAGACAGTAAACAGATAATTGCAATAAACAGGGCACTGCTGTAATCAGAAGCAGGTAACAAGTGCCACAGGAAGACAGCAGAGAGAAATACACTGCCTTGGGTTGGGGGCGTTGAGGGAGGATCACAAAAAACCTTTGCTAGTTCAAATGGCATTTGCCGCAGGAAGAATTTCCCAACTTCCCCGAGAAGTTAGCTGCTCTTTCCTCTCTGACCTCATGGAACTTTGTTTTTCCAATGCACAGTATTTAACACAGTGTACCATAATGTTAGATAGGTTCTCCTACTCACCTGTGAGCGCCTCAAGATTACAGTCCTTCACGGAACCCCTCACTGTTCAGCCCATAGTATGTGTTCAATAAATGTTCATTGGATGGGTGGATGAATGGATGGCTGGCTTAAGAGTGGTTATTAATCCTGTAATTTAACACCTTCTATGGCAAGGAACTCATTGAACCTCTGCTACTAGTTTTCTGTGAAGTCTATAGAAGTAAGAGACATGAATTAACAAGATTTTCTCACTGTTGGAAGTACTCTCTGAAAGCAGAAGACGTAACTGTCTTGGACATTCTTTACTTCTTCCAAACCTCTAAAATATCATTCAGATATTTTGGACTCTAATATGCATTCCTTTTTTTTTATTGGAGTATAATTGCTTTACAATGTTGTGCTAGTTTCTGCTGTAGAACAAAGTTAATCAGCTATATGTATACATATATACCCTCCCTCTTGAGCCTCCCTCCTACCCACCCTCATCCCATTCCTCTAGGTCATCACAGAGCACCGAGCTGAGCTCCCTGTGCTATACAGCAGCTTCCCACTAGCTATCTATTTTACACATGGTAGTGTATATATGTCAATGCTACTCTCTCAGTTCGTCCCCCCCACCCCTTCCCCTCCTGTGTCCACAAGTCCATTTTCTATGTCTGCATCTCTTTTCCTGTCCTGCAAATAGGTTCATCAGTACCATTTTTCGAATACATATTCTTAATACTCCAATACCACAACAGTTGACATCTTAGGTAGACTTTATACGCAGGCAGAATCAGCCATAGACAAAGATGAATTTTTGGTGAATTTTCTTTTCCTCATTTGACAACCTTCTTCCACTCCAGACCCTCAGAATTTCAAGGATTAAACTGGTCCTGTCAATTCAGCCACAATAAGGTGGTAGGCTGGTATGAACTCACCTTCCCAGTAGTGTTTGCATTTTGGATAAGGATGCCTTGGAAGCAAAATTATTCAACCAAAAAGTATTTTTCTGAGTACTCGTTATATACGAAATCTTGTACCAAGTGCATCAGGGAATACAAAGAGAATAAAAACATGTCCTGGTCCTCAAGAGGTTTATAGTTTAATTTGGGAGAAACTCATAGACCCATGAAATCTTAAAACACAATACAAGAAAAAATATTCATGATGGTGCATTGGTACATGGCACACTTTGGTCCCTAGGAAAAATACACAGAAACAAAAAGAAATGAACCTTAATCTAACCCTCCATCCAGTCCCCTCTACAATATCCTCAGCAGCTCTCCAGTCAAATACTTCCAGCAATAAGGCATCACTACTTCAGAAGAGAATCCATCCTGCTGCAGAAGAACACAGAAATTCTACTCATAAAAATGTGTCCATGTGTATAATCTTACATTGACCCAAAACCGGGCTTCCTATAACTTCTATCCATCTCAGAGAATGACAGGTAAAGTTCATTTGCTCTCCCTTTTCAAGGTAGCCCTTCCAGCATGTAAAGAAACACATCTACCCTAGGACCGCTCTTCTTCATGCTAAACATCTCCGTTTCCTTCAAAGGCTGCTTATCCAGTATGGTTTCCTGTGCTTGCCGTCTCAGTCATCCTCTTCAAAATATATTTAACTTGTTAGTGTCTCTCTTAAAATGTAGTACCACAAACATATTAAAAGTTAATAATATCATTAATAATATATTATTTCTACATATGTATATATAATATTTCTAGTAACTGTAATATTAATTTTGAGTTAATGTTTATATTATCAAACTACCTACTGGATATTACCACTTGGACCGTCTCAAACTTAATCTGTCCAAAACCAAACTCCTGATCTTCCTCCCACAGTCTTCCTCATCCAGTGTACGGCAAACTCCAGACTGCATTTCTTGAAGCTCTGGCTCAGACCAAAAACTCATCTCTCTTTCGTTAACTCCTTCTCTAATACTCAGCAACCCTAGTGGCTTTACTTTCAAAACAGAATCAGAATCTGACCACTTTTCCCCACTTTCACCACTATAACCTGAGTCCAAATGACCATCATCTCCCAGCTAGGTTTCCTGCTCCCACTGGTCCCACATCTCCCCATCTCAGTCTGTTCTCCAGAGTGCAACCAGATGATGCTCTTAACACATGTCAGACCATGTTGTTCCTCCACTCAAAACCCTCCAGTTGTTCCCCGTCTCATTTTTAAAGCCCTTTAAAACGGCCTGCATGCTCTGGCTCCCTCATCCCTCGATGGCCTCCCACCACTCTCCTCCCATCCTCCATTCCTGCCACATCTGTCGCCTCACTTTCCTCAAACACTCCAAGCACAACCTTGCTTTGGAGTTTCTGCACAAACTGTTCCCTCTGCATGGAAACTCTTCCTGGAGAGACATCACTCTCTCCTTCCGATCTATGCTCAGATGCCACCTGGTCACACTATTTAAAATAGCAAATTCCACCCTCACACCCAAAGCACCCTATCTCTCCCTTATCCTCTTGACTTTTCGTCACAGCACTTAATACCAACTGTTACACCATATATTTTTTATTTGTTTTACTGACTGTCTTCCCCCCTCCCCATTAGAATGCAAATTCTATAAAGGCAGGGAATTCTATCTGTTCTGTTAACTGATGTATCCTTGGGACCTAAAATGGCCCCTGGAACATATTAGACTCGCATGTTGAATGACTGAAAGAACGAATGAGTGAATGAATGAATATGTTCCAACTAGATAAACTGGGGTGAGATCTACAAAAACAATTCTACTCAATTGCCTACACTTTTCCTAATAAGATACCATAGTTTTACCCACCATCTTTTATTAATTTCTTCTTAGGATTTGGGCAAAGGTATTGGCTTAATTCAATTATGAACCTTATGTCATAATTTCCACAAATAGTAGAGCTGTAGATGCTATAATAAAATGGACCTCTTCAAGGCTTAAAAAAATCTATTAAGAACGTTCTCATCTAATTTTGAATTTTAATGATTAGTTACAACAATGAGTAATTAATTTTGATATTTATAGAAAATGAAATGCATTTTTTCCTTTCTGAAAATCTAGCACTTCAGGAACAGCAAATTCTTGGAGAAAAAAATTCTAATGAGATCATTAAAATTGATAGTGTTGTACTTACCTAAGCCGTTAACAGGCACAACAACTGAATGGGCACCAAATAATATCCTCCTTCTTGTGCCTGACTCTGCTATCTGAGTTCACCACTTCCTCCAATCTGTACAAAACTGCCATTGGAGGAGTTCTAGGGATAAAGCATGAGCTTCCCGGTACCTAAGGCACAAAGACAAACACCTGGTTTCTAACTTGTGTTACAAGCAAAGCTAATGTTCTAAATCCAGAAGGAATGTTATCACTTAATTTTTTTAACAACAGATTTTAGGTAACATGAGGTACAACATCCTCAGCAATATTTGCAAGAAAAAAATGCAAAAGCATGTTCCAATAGATAATTCTTAAACTGAATCTCATAAAGGCGCAGAGCGTAACACTAGATTTTTAACTTGGTGAGAGCATTTCTATCAGGAACAGAGGTTATCCAGCCCAGATATGTTGCTTCCTGATACTACAACGAATCACAAGAACAGAGATTAGAGTCCCTAGAAGAGGGATGGAGAGCTCACCCGTTCATTAAATCGTCTCTCTCCAATATTAGGTGTCTGAGGTGAGCCTTTGGCAAGTGCACAGTTAAAGTCACTTCAGGACTGAATTCGCTGACAAGTGCCTGAAGTGCCAATAGTCTTTGATGTTGATTATCCATACGCTTTCAACACCAGATGTGCAGGAAGTCAGGCTGACATTCTGTTGTCAATTTTTGAAGAAACTGACTTGTATCCTTGCCATTCCATTTCTACTCAAAGATAAGCTGCAGGGGTTCCTGCAGGTGACATCAGCGTTTCCCTTAAAGTGGAGTTTGAATCCACTCACATACTTCGACACTCTTAAGGACCCTGAGTTTTTCACTATACTGCAGATGATTTGGTCCAAGACCTTTCTTAGGACAGGTGTAACCCATCAACCATTTCAACTATTTTTAAAAAAGAAAAGAAAAGCAACAAAATGAAACACCCTCCTATGGGCCCCGCCGAACTAATACTTGGTGTGCCTGCCAGAATGAGTTAGCTGCAACAAATAAAATAAAATGATTTTTAAAATGCTCCTTTGGACCAGAAGGAGTCGACTGCTTGTCAAGGTTAGCTGATATTATCCACTTTAACGTTGGAGAGCATCTGCCAAATGCAGCGATTTTAGCTCCGATGAGTTGAGGCTAGGCTGCTCTTTCTAACAATAATTAGTCAGCAGGTTCAGCTGCTTCTGTTCTAGTATTGTTTATTGCAAAACATTACCAAAACATTGACAAAGCTCAAAAGAAAGAAAAATCCACCCAAAATTCTGCCATCCTACAAACCAAACTGTTTACATTTTTTTTATGCTCCCTTTCAGTCCCTGTCCATATGCAGACAGAATTGTTACAGTTGTAATCATAGCACAGACACAATTTTGTAGTCAGGTTTGTCTCAATTAGAGTTTTTAAAGCGTTTTTCCAGTTCACTCTCTCATCTTCATTTCTGCTACTAGGAACACTTCACCCCCACCATTCCTAGTGACCTCCCGTGGGATCTTAAGTGTTGAGGAAGGCTGAAAAAGAATAATAATCAACAGAATTAGGGGAAAGGGTTAAGTTCCCTGTGTAAAGGATGGAGTCTCTAGAATTAAACTTGTGTGGAAAGGATTTCTTTCACCCTTTGTTCCCGTAGTTGGAAACCTTTATGAAAATCGCTATATTTCCCCACCATCAGGCATGTTTTCATTATATTAATAAAGAGGCCTCGCAGGTATTTTCTCTTTACCTAGTTTGTTTTTAAGGCCTGCACAGTATTTAGGACATAGGCATATAGAGACATCTTTTCTTCCAACTGCTATAAGAATTTATGAAACTTGGAATTTTTTAAGTGTGGCTACTACTCCATGCTATATTCACATGAACATGAAGTGATATACGCAGCTGTCAAAACACTGGATACCTGGATGCATCTTTTTACATTTTAACTTGTATTCTTCAGTCTCTGGCTTCCACACCAGGCTGCACATCACTCGTCTGGGGGTGGGGAATCAGTAAAAAGAAAAAATACAGACCCCAGGGCTCACCATTGATCAGGTGAAGCAGAATCTCTGGGGCTGTCTTTGGACTGATGGTTATAACACTGTACATTTAAAATGGCAAAAAGCGTCTGTCTTTCTTGATAACAGCTCTGACTGTTATGGTTTGTGGATTTTTACACGGATGGTAGGGAAAAGGACTATAAGGATTTGGATAAGGAATGGAAGAAGAATGCGGCCTATAGATGCTTTGTTGAAATGTCCTTCTTTGAGTTAGGTAGACCCAAAATGTGAATCACCTGCTCGGATAACCCTAGCAAGCATCAAGAAGTAATAGTTTTGGGGCTTCCCTGGTGGCACAGTGGTTGAGAATCTGCCTGCTAATGCAGGGGACACGGGTTCGAGCCCTGGTCTGGGAGGATACCACATGCCGCGGAGCAACTAGGCCCGTGAGCCACAACTACTGAGCCTGCGTGTCTGGAGCCTGTGCTCCGCAACAAGAGAGGCCGCGATAGTGAGAGGCCCGTGCGCCGCGATGAAGAGTGGCCCCCACTTGCCACAACTAGAGAAAGCCCTTGCACAGAAACGAAGACCCAACACAGCAAAAATAAATTAATTAATTAATAAACTCCTACCCCCAACATCTTCTTAAAAAAAAAAAAGCACTCTGTGTCTGAGAGATCCTAGTGATTTCACCTTGGACAAATAACTTAAAAAAAAAGAAGAAGAAGTAATAGTTTTGTGTTTTTGCGAGCCGACCTAGCCTCTGCCTTCCATACACAATCCTGGAACCCTGAGGAGGCCACAGCCACAAAGGGGGAGGATGTCTGGTGTTGATAATGTTGGGGCAGTATATATCAAATCTTTTCTTTTTTTTTAATTAGAATGCTTTGACCCTGGAAAGCTTTCACTTTCAATTCTATGTTCTATACTGTTTCAATTTTTATAAGCATGGATTCATGCATTATTGGTTCATTTCTTTTTTTAAAAATTGAAGAGTGGGTTATACCCATATGCAGTCCTTTCAAAGGAATGCTCTCACCTGTTCTCCAATGTGTCCTGGAATCTGATGAATCAGATCACTAGTCCCTCCTCTTCAGAGGAAACAAATGAGGGAGAGGATCTAAGGACAGAATCTTTTCCTCTCTCCCTGCATTAGGCAAAGAAGGAGAAAGGCTTTCCAGGAACAAATAACAAGAAAAACAAAGGAGTGGAGGTACTACATAGGTTGGTGTGTTCAAAGATTTAGTGATTCATTATCCAACTCCTACTTACCAACCAGGGTGCAATTTTGTCCCCTGGGGGACATTTCAGCAATGTCTGGGGTTATTTTTGGTTGTCATAACTGGGAGAAGAGAGTACCACTGGCATCTAGTGGGTAGAGGCCAGGGATGCTGCTGAGCATATTAGCATGGCACAGGATAGCCCCGCCCCCCAACAAAGAACTATCCAGCCCCAAATGTCAGTAGTGCTGAGGCTGAGCCCCGGGCTGTAGCATGCAGTGCTAGGCAGTGAGCAGCTTGTAGGAAATAAACCTGAGAAGCTCATTTAAAAAAAGCCAGATCGGGGGAGGCCTTATATTTTATGCCAAGGAGCTCGGGTCTCTTTTTACTGTGGATGATGGAGAGCCAATGAAAGGAAGTTACCTGATCAATTTGGATTTTAAATATATTGCCCTGAAGGGTAAATCAGAGGAGGCCAGTTACTGAAGGCAGAGAAAGCCCTTAGGGTGCTGCTGTGAAAGCCCAGAGAGGAGTGTGAGGGCCTGGACAAGACATGGCCAGAGGGATCGACAGGGCAGCCAACACACATTTAGGGTGTAAAAGTCAGCAAGTGTTGGGAATTGAATGGATGTGGGAAGGGCAGGGAGGATTCCAGGATAACTCCCAGGTTGCTTGTTCAGATTATTGGATGGATGCTGGTTAGATACAGAAAGAGATTTAAGGAAGAAAAAATAATATATCTATAAAATATAAAGGTTTTACAAAGTCTTAGGTATTCTCTGGAGGAGATAAATAACAGAATCTACTCATATAACAAATATTTTAATAGCCATTATCTGTAAAAAATTAGTTTATACCTAGAGCTGGTTAGCTCCTTATGCAAGCAAGCTATTAGATTGAGACTTAGTCTTTCAATTTAAGGGAAAAAAATGTGATGTTATTTTGAGGAAGTCTCCAAGAGCCTTAATGGTTCTGTGATTTCAGGAGATGGAGGGTTTCCCCTTTTTAATCTAGAGTCAACTACACTTAGAGATCATCATGAGGGAACCATACCTGCGGAGTTAATTAAGGTAAATAGGTTGGCAAGGGCTTCAGCCAACTACTCAAGCAAGATCAAAATAATTCTGGCAGCAGAAATTTTCTTCTGGAGCTCTTTTCAGCCTTGAAAGACTGGATTTTTTAGAGCTGATGAAAATAATGGATTCTGGCTATGGAGAACACTGGGGACAACAAAATGCAGAGAGGCGAAGTAGTAATCGAAATGATTGGTTTAGTAATCAACCCATGCACATGATTCTGAATTTCTTCATCCTGAAGTGATATCAAGGAAGATAAAGTCCCCAAATGTGGAATGTTGGTGTCCCTGTGGTCAAGCCCAAAATATTCCAGAATAATTTAATTTTTGAAAAGGACAAGTTGTTTTTAAAAGAACTGTAATTTAATGACTCTTTGGATGACTTGATCTCAGTTATATTTGAGATAATATCTTGATAGTATGGCCTGGAACTTTTTCTCTTTCTGATCTCTCTTATAAAGCAAGAAATAAAAGCACTTGTTTTTTGAATAGTCCAGCGACATAGTAGTATAATCACAATTTGTTAATATTATAAATAGTTATTCATGAAGACTTCCAGAATAAAATATGTGCCATAAATTCTTTGTTGTCATACATTTATTTTTTCACTTCAGTTTAACTTCATTCCTAAAATCTCACTGATTGAGTTACATGTAGGGACAGATGCAAGGACATTTTGAAAGTTCAGATTAAGTTTAAGAGAAAAATATTTACTTTCAACCAGTCTAAAATATCCAAGTCGAGGTTGTAGATAAGCTCTGAAGAACTAATTCTTCAATCATCAATAATGCTGCCTCTGGTTGGAAAACTAAGAGAAAGTCCACGGATTTATCCCATAGCCTGCCATTTACCATTATTGGACTATGATTATAAAT